ACACACACACACACACACACACACACACACACACACACACACACACACACACCCCTATTTTCAAAACTCTATTGAATGAGAATAAACTATACATGTACTTAGAGTATCCCTGTTGGGGAAAAAAAGCAAACAGGCAGATTTTCACAAATTATTTTCTTAAATTATAGACCACATGTTCATAGTCACACAATGGACCAAATGGTATAGAGAATACATTCTTCTGTGTTATTTTTTGTTGATTATAACAGTTTGTGTCACTCCAACAGAGATTTCCTTTTTTTGTGCTGAATCTGCTCTGGCTATTCTTCCCAACTTCACTTTCTTAGGTACCATTTCCACTTTCTTAAGTTGCACATAAAAGACTGAGGCAAGTCCAAATAAAGTGGTTCCGCTGTCATAGATTATAAAAATAGAAATATTTATATAGATGTGCTGAAAGATTTATTCCATATTTCATCTGCTTATTGTTCTCCCAATTTAATCTGTAAATTCTCTTAAAATAGTCTGACATGTTTTCATTGCATACTACACTTTCTATAGACTGATTTTTATTTCTACTGCTCTTCATTTTTTATGAAGTGATACTACTCATAATCCTCCATCATCATCTCCTAAAGCATTTAACAAATAAATTTATATTCTAAGTTGGTATTATTTTTACCTGTCATATCTCTACATTTAGCAAGGGAGGTCATAGGATCATAGATTTCAATCTGGAAGCAACCTTAGAAATCATCTAGTCCAACCCTTTGTTGTATACATCAGAAATCTAAGATCCTTAGAGGTAAAGTTACTTGTCCAAAGTCACAGAATTAGTAAGTTCCAGAAACAGGATTCAAACCCAGGTCCTTTGGCATTTGCTAGGTAAGGTGGTTCCTGGATTAATCTGGTTCCCTTGTTGTGGCAATTTTTAATTTTACTTAACTTCTTTAGAAAATGGTGATAATATCAATTTTTTTTCCTTTAACCACTTCCCACTTTCTATAAGAATAACTTACTTTAATAGATTAGATTGGAGCTACCATAATTGTTGACAACATTTCATTTTTTATCCTTTCTTCAAGCTAGGTATTGATTTGTACTGGTCAAATATTCTGATTAGACACATAAAGCTGATTCAAAAATACCTCCCACATCAATAACCAGTTTTTTACCACCTTTGAATATATGGTCAATTTTTTTCCTCTGTATGTGTGTGTGTGTGTGTGTGTGTGTGTGTATGTTCCTGTATGTGTGTGTGTATGTTCCTGTGTGTGTGTGTGTGTGTGTGTGTGTGTGTGTGATGTTCAAAGCTGGTTATATGCACTACATTCCTGAGCTAAATATAAGAGTTGAAGAATTAAATAATCTTTTGTGCTTAAGGAAGGCAATTCTGGCTGCTGTGTGGAAATGTATCAGAGAGGGAAGAAACTGGGAAACAGGGATCTAAGCTAGGAATTTTCAATAGACCAATGCACTTTTCTCAATGAAGCATGTTAAAATGAAAGTATATTTTACATGGCTGCAATAGAAAAAAATTTGCAACAAGTTGTATTTTTTATCAATACTTTATTGTTGAAAACAAAATTGAATTTCTCTGGCACATAAAACAATTATTTCTATAAAAGGAAAGCTTATAAATCTTGATAATTTATACAAATAACAGTTTCTCAAAAAATAAAATTTTAATTTAGTAAAAAAAAAAGAATTAAATAACCTCTTCCTGGACATTCTCCAACATTTAGCAGATGATGCTCTCTGAATGAATAAACAGTATTCTCCCCCTCTTGTATTACTAAAAAGTAAAAGAAAAACCTAATATATGACTCGTGTATATTCTGGTGAAACCTATTTAAGAATATGTGTTATTGCAGAGATGCATTACAACTGACTGGATCTTGTATGAATAGTAAATGCTTGGAGTACAAATACTGCCCCCATGGCCTCTTGCATGCTTCAGATGAAAGATGCTTTCGGGGACCTGTGAATATTCTTCTGGTCTTGCACCAGTCTTCTCCAAGCTGATACATGTACCTGTGTCCATTTAAAGGGCTACAGTATAAGTCTTCTGCAGCAATGTAATTTGAGGCTGGATGGCTCTGCCTATATAGTGAAAAAGCTCTGCTTCTGATATCAGTCCTTATCAGTGAGGTCCCTCAATTTCCAAGTGTTCTCAAATACTGACAAATAGAAGCTGACTGGACAGCATGAGCCTGAGCTAGTGGACAGACTTCTCTGTGTGCTAATTGACCAGAACAAGGAGCCTACTCCTTTCTGTACTTAAGATTTGTCTCTTGATGTCTGGGTGAAATCTATGATGCACAGATTCTCATAATTAGCCTAAGGATGATGTCTATTCAATGACAATTGGAGGTGGTCATTATCTTTGGATGGACAGTTTGCTGAGTGAAGATATTAATACATTCCCTGAAACAAACAACAGAAGCACCTGTTACCTTA